GGTAAATATCTTATGGACCAATATTTACAAAAGCAACTGTAATTAAATTTAAAAAAAAAAGAAACAAGGAAAATAACAAATACCTTATGGTACAGTACTTTGAAAAAAAATCAAAGAAACTTATAAATAGCTTATGAAGTCACATTTAAAGAAGGACAAACAATTGATTTAAAGAAAAACCAAAGAAAACTATAATTACCTTGTGGATTAATATTTGAAAAAGTAGCAGCAATTACATTGAGGAAATCCAAGTAAAATAGTAACTACCCCGTGGACCAACGTTTAAAAAAATAGCAGCAATTTAAAGAAATGCCAAGGGAAATAGTAAATGCCTTGCGGACCAACATTGAAAAAAGCAGCAGCAATTACATTGAAGAAAATCCAACTAAAATAGTAACTACCTTGCGGATCAACATTTAAAGAAAGGAACAGCAATGAAAAAAAATAGCGAATACACATACCTTGTGGACCAACATTTAAAAAAGCACCAGCTATTAAGTTGAAGAAAATCCAAGACAGATAGTAAATACCTTGTGGACTCACGTTTGAAAGAAGAACCAGCAACTAAAATTGAGCAGCAGCGATGCAGAGAAGCGAAGCGAACTCACACTGTAAAATGTAAAGAGATCAAGGAGATCCTGGCCAGTAGAGAATTTCTCTTGTACGTTAGGGTGCGATCTTTGGAATTGAACGATTCGCGCGACACGACGGTAACGGTACCAAGTGAGACAGCGTCGGGGGTGTCTTCGTATATATACGGATGCGGGGGATGTGCTGTTTTTCTGGAGAAGGGGAATGTGGGCGCCGACACCGATGACCACTAGGAAAGCAACCACCAGCGATCTCGAGCGCACGCGTCCTTCTCATTCGTTGTTCGAAATTCTCGTACACGGATTCCTACCCGCTGTGATCTCTTCGACAGAAAATCTTCCAACAACTCTATCTCCGGAGCCACTAGATACTTTCTAGATAAATGTTGATTCCAATAGCTGTTTACATAACATATCTATTTAATTTTTCCCTTTGAAGCTTCAGAAAGGCTCCAAGATAGAACACCTTTCGCTTCCCGAGAAAGGTCTTCAGGGTATGTACTATGTCCCGTTTGAATGATAGATTCAGTGCTGAGGAGTTCTATGTGGATCTTGCGTTACTTTAAAATTTATGCGATTCTTTGGCGATTGATTTTCTAGAGCAACAAGTTGTCAAAGTAAATTTTGTACCAATTCTTCTGTAAATGAACAAGCTTTTGTATTTGAAGGTTTGCGATCATGATTTCTGGAATCATTAGCGCAATTCAGATTATTCATTGTGTGTATATTTCTTGTATTAATTTGAAGTTACGTAATTGCTTGGCGATCAACGAATTTTCTAGAGGATCAAGTTGTTTGAGTATACTGTGTACCAATTGGTCTGTAAATGTTTATATTTAGTTTTTGCCTTTAATTTTTGCTAAAAAGCATGGCTGTTTTGTATCTAATTATTACTGAGAATATAGTATAAAAATACCTTACCCATTCTAGAAGAAATAGATATTTTAGTTCAAAAACAATGCTGAAGGCATACACGAAAACAAATGGTTCTTAAAATGAAATGTGGCAGAGAAGTAAATTGTTTTTAATATTCGATATCTGGAACTTGAATCATGTCACACTTATTTTTCACTTTTAGAACAAGTAGGAAATTCTTTCTAGTAAAAATGGTGTACACGTGTAACTATTTGGTAACACACGTGGTCTCTTATACGTATTTGTAATGCACATGCTTTCTTATATTTAAAATAATTTCACTGAATTAATTTCTCGCCATCTTATCACGGTTTCCCATTTTTAATGAAGTATTTTACAAAGTTAACTATTTACCTCGCTACGATATTGATTCTTGGCTGGGGTGTAAATTTGACACCAAGGAAGAAATTAAGTTGGGAAAGTGAGGACTGGATAAAGGTTTAATTAAATTAGAGAATAAAGTACCTAAGCGTTCTTTATCTGAAGCAGTATTTTAATGAATCTCGAATACAGAGTGGCCAAGAAATACTCAACTTGAATTCAAATTTATCAAATGATATCAGAAGGTATCAATGTTTTATTGCCAGAAATTTAAAAGATTAAGAAACATTAAATGTCAATATTTCAATAAATTATTAGGAGAAACAGATAAATAGAAAGCACAGTTTTTTTACGTCTGGTGTAGAACATAATATATGAGCCGTTTATTTTTTGAAAGTGACATAAGTCACTTTACCGTAATGAAAAGTGGTGATTTTTTAATGTTTATACGAAATTATTTATACTGAGAAAAATATCAGTATCCTGAGATAACAAATACAAGTAAATCTTCTCGAAAGTTAGCATCCATATTTTTAAACATGTTAAAACGCAAACCCTTAAATATATCGACTTAAAAACAAAGTGACTTATACCACTTTCAAAATAAACGGCTCATATATTTAATTTATACATAATATAATACTATAATATACTACATAATATAATTATAATTAATTTATATATAATATAATATATATTTATATTATATTTACATATAATAATTATAAGGGGTTGTCTCTGATTTGCGGACAATGGACCGCAATAGAAACGACCCCCATTATGTTTATTACCGCAGAAATCGCGTCTTATCATCAATGCTTGTTTTTCCTACGGCGGAACACAAATTTGAACAGTATGTGGTAATGGTACAGTGAATAGGTATCACGGCCAAATCGATTTCCAGGCTTGTTACCTCTTAGGTTCTTCGTGTGGGCAGACGACGGAAAGACGGAATACCATTAGAGAAAAGAGCTGGACGTGAAATAGGCATGAGGGAGCTGTTGACTTTTTCCTGGAGCAATCCACGCTGAATTTTATTAAACAACTAAATAGAAAACGTGCCTCGTTCTGGGATCAATCAGAAAAATGTAATTTTCTGGCAGTCTTTTGAAGCAGAATATCTTTCTCCAAATTGGTTCAAATGATCTGAACTTTCTATAAGATGTTAGAAGGGCTAGTTTGTTAGGAAATGTGTAAAGAAATTTTTGTAAAAAACTGCAACTGGCTGGCAGCAAAAAGTGAAAGAATTTGTTAGGCTTGGCTGTGATTTGTGAGTTTAGTTAGAAGTTTACTTAGTTAGAGTTTACTTAGAATTGTATGTAGTTATGACAACTGATATTTATATTTCATGCGCGTACTGTGATTGATAAATTAATTTTCTTTAATCATTACTGCACTGGAGATTTTATGCATTTATGACAAAAATTAACAAGTCGAGTGCAGAACAGTGAGGACATTCAAAGAATTTAAAAATACAGTTGCATTGTTACCAGATCATTAAAATGATTAAGGAACGAAATTAACGTCTACGTAGCTTCTGTGTCTTGTAATTAGTGCAGACAATTGTTATTTTGCGCAAAAATCCGCAGTGTAATTATCGGTTCACGGTCCGCCGTTTTCCAGGTGTAAGCTGAAGGGTAGTTGGTCGGTGAATTTGTCAGCGTCACGAGAAAACCACGAGTTTAAAATCCTTTTTACAGAGTGCGATATTTCGCAGAGGTAAATGCTCCAGAAAGATTGAAAAAAAACGTAAAACACGAGTTCTGCTTGCGTAGCTCAAGTTGCAAGAAAATCATCTTCGACAATTTGGCTGACTTACACTACTGGCACGGCTGATTATGATCGATCGCTTCCACTTGTGATCATCGAGATCACTAGACCGGAGATCTTCATTAAATTTTCGCTATGCGCCACGTTGTATTAATTAACAATAATTTTATATTCCATTTTTACCGTAAAAATTGTTTAGTTCTCTTCCTAGCTTTTATAAAATAATTTCATAAATATTTTCTTAAACGCTAATATTATACTAAAAATGAAAGGTATTGGAAAATTAATCGATATATTCCTGGAAAAATTATTATTTTCCAGATTTATGACTGCAATGTTATTTGAGCCTTTTGAACATTAAGTTACGGATGCTCATTTGAGAAAACTAAAATTTGGTTATTCGTGTGCTAGCAATGATTGCCATTTATATTCGTGAAACGAACTGCGAGCGTAAAAATTACAAAAAGCAACAATTGGGAAAACTCATGAGAACATTTAATTTTTCAGAAGCAGCTTCTGTGCACAACAATGGATGTATTAAACATAAAATGCATACGAAAACAGATCACTTGTGCATCCGCAACGAATGATTCCTTTGGGAGTAAAAATTATAGATAATAACTTAAAAGGCAATATTCTTCAAATATTGATTTTTAATTTGGAATAAAGATAACTCTATAATGGTGCCTCATTCTTATAAACAAATATCATAATACAAACATACAATAATAATATATAATAATATCACATACAAACATAACATCTTCTTGAGAAGAGTATGTCCAATGTAAAAATTTAACACTTACACACACAATATGGAATTTGTTACTTCAATCAAACGAACGATTTTATTCGTAGATCGTCAAATTACTCGATCAAATAGAATCCAATTATATTTCTCTTCAGCCTATTATTTAAAAGGAAGTTATTAAGCTCGTTTCTGACATAACAGAGTCGTTAATAAGCCTGTTGATTAGCTCCGGGTAGTTGGAACGTTAATTATCTTTCACTTTTCTTCGAGAACCTTCTGTTCAGTTTCTTATCGCGTCCCCCTCCCCGTCCGTCCCCACGGCAAATGATTGAATCGAATCGCGTTTAGTAAGCCCAAATGTCTACATTACGTGCAAATGTTTGAAATGAAGGGCATATCGTGCTTCTCTCATACACGAGGACAAACCGGCACACAGGCTAAGAATCGATAATTGACACCGATACGTGTGTACATAGAAGTTTCAAGGGTGTATAGTATTCCGTTCTGACATTCCTGTTAATGCTCACTTGAACATCTTGGCTGTTAATGTCTCAATAAACACGTCCACCTGCGATGATCGACACATTAATTGGCGTTCCGTAAAGCTCGCGGCTCGCGTCGGTGACGAAAATTCAAGGGAACACGATTTCTAATGTGTTTGCAATCCATTCTACGCAGAATCACACAAAGTCTCATGATATAAATCATTTCTGACAAATGGCCGGTAATCATTCTGCAAAACACGTATTCGTACTTCCCAAATTTGATTTACGAGATACTACGTGGAATTCGATGTTCGTCGATTGTCAGACGTGATTTATCGGATTGCAAATACGAATAGCAATATTGTATTCTATTAGGTGCATTTTGTTACATTTTATTAACAAATAATATTCGTAACTTTTTAGTTCTTTTAAAAGCAGTTTCAAACGTTGTAAATAATATAATTCGCAGTACTTCTATTTTATAAATAAAATTGATAAATATTTCGGCTCCTTGAACACGAAGAATATGGCAGGGCAGATTAAATAAAATATTTTGTCTCGTTACGGTAGAATGAAAGTATAAAAATAAATTCGAAATAATGTTTCCTTGAAATTTTAAAAATAACATCGATAAAAATGACAGTAAGAAACACTTACAAATATACTGCCGATCTTCATGCGAGTAATATAACTCTAATTCTGCAAATAATTAATATAATTACAGTTATATAAGCCAACTGAATGCAAAGTAGAATTTAAACAAAATTTGCTTATCAGATTTCGCTTATCAGGTTTCACAAAGAAGCGAAACTTTTAAACAAGTCTCCCCTTAATAAATTCCCTGCAGCGAAATTTCGTAAGATTCAACGTGCCACGAATGCATTAAAAATCTGTTTGCAACCAGACTTGGATTTAATCAAACGAAACATATTTGCATCGCATTGTGTAATAAAAATGTGAATAATCTCGTTTTCTGTTGGCACGAAGTTATGCAAGAAATTGAAAACGAAATAAAAACCTTTTATTTTTCCTCCAAGACGTCCATGTCCTACGTTACAATTTTTCAAACAGTAGCAAGTGCAACAAATAAGTTGAAACATTTCTATTTACCGAGGACTTTCCTTTCATTTTCCATTCTTTCGTCTCGACGAACGTTTGAATTGATCGCGGGTCAAGAAAGATGCTTTCACGGCGCGATAACGCGACTACTGTGTTCCAATCGAATGCAAACAGGACACCCGTATTTTATCGAGCACCGTGGTAACTTCGCCGTATGCGGTGCCCGTAATGCCTAATCATTAACCGATACGCGAACAGATACCGCGCCGAATCTAATAACCATGGTAAATAATACGAATTTCTATGGATATTAAATCTGTGCGAGATTGTTGCCGATAAATCCGTTCGGTTAATAGAAAACTTAGAACGCGCGAGAATGCTCGCGACGAATGTCGCAGATTCATGGGGCGACCTTCGTGGATCTAATTATTACAAGCTGGTAAAAAAATTCAGATTTGTATAGCGATTTGTCAAGATGCTTCCAAACTGCATTTTCATAATTTTGTTGTATGTTTAATATTATGAAATCGTAGAGTTTTGTGCCGTTGTTTAACGTCGTATTGCAGAGAAAAGTCAATCAGTTATTGGTCAGAGAAATTTCTATATAACGAAGAAGAATTTTTGACAAATTTTGAACCGAAATGAAGCATTTTTAATGTAGAATTTTTCCGGAGTTTTTGAAAAACGCCGAGTCTTTCAACGATTGTAAAAGTTTAACGAACTGCGATATTTGAAAAAATCGTAGGCAACATTGCAGATAACTTTGTAAATGGTAACATGTTGAGGTTAAATGCGTGCAGAATTTTATTGCCAATTTATACGGAAATGGATCGATTACTTTCAATGTACAATTTTTCAGTAATTTTGGAAAAGGAAGGAAATTTGAATATTCACATATAGAGAAGGGAATTTAAATATTCACATATAGAGAAGGTAATTTAAATATTCACATTAAGATAAACAAAATCGTATGCAACATTGTAGATCATTTTATGAAAAGCAACATGCAGAAATTTTGAGTTAAGCGGATGAATAATTTTTATGTCAATTTATACAGAAACGAACTATATCCAATGTTAGAATTTCACAATAATTTTGAGAAAGGGAGGAACATTAAATATCCACAAACGAATTAAGATAAACGAATGAGAATCATTTTATATGAAATAACGTTTACATCGGAGATAAATGAACAATTAACAAAATTCATATTCGATGTTGTCATTTATCTCATGCGGCACACATTCATTCTTATTATTATAATTTCATCATTTCTTTTCATTTCGGAAAATCCTTTCATTACGGCGTTCCGGACGTGAAAAGCTTGGAAAAGAAGCAGAACGATATTTTTAATCCGACAGTGTTCTGTACCTACTTTAAAAGCATCCTCTGTTAGTAGAATTGATTTAATCTAAATGAACGCGTAGCACTCTCATTCCTCTGTGCTGATAATTAATGTTTATTCCCCGTAAAATAAAAATATGATCACGCAAATGCAACAAGGAAAGACGAATATTAAATTACGGATTCCTCAATATCACGTTATTTCTCATTATTGTTACTAAAATAACGATTTACAATTACGTTCGTGCAAACGAGATTCTCTGAAAAATGTTTAGCGATTGTAATATAGGAAAGTAATTTCTCGTGAATTTTTCGAACATAAAAAGGCGATTACAAGAGTAATTGCGTTACTCACGTTTTTTAAGTGCACTTCGATGGCGTTGGGAACAGAGAATTTGCGTGGTTCAGAATAATATTGAATTACCAATGAAAAGTTTCATAAATGACGGCGTACGTGAGAAAGCGCAATCGATAATTCGTTGTTTGAAGATACACGGAACAGATGTGGTGTATCAAAGATTAACATTATCATAAATTAATCAAAATCGCCCGTAAAAAAAAGTGGGCGAATTTGAAAAATGCTTGAACAAATATGAAGTATCCACAGACAGGACATCGAATTAATTACCCCTTATCGTTGCAATTTCAAGCGTTGAATAATAAAGTGTTAATAATTAATATTCGATCGAAAGGATGTTAGTCGCTTTTGATTTTATCGAAACGTTGGTTAATTAATTTTTCTGCTAAAAATGTTCAACCAGAAATGCCTCAATTGTTGATCTTTGATTTTTAAAAGAGCATTAAATTTTCGTGGAACGCATTGAAATTTTGTAACTGTAAGAACAGGATTGAAAGAAANTTTGAGTTAAGCGGATGAATAATTTTTATGTCAATTTATACAGAAACGAACTATATCCAATGTTAGAATTTCACAATAATTTTGAGAAAGGGAGGAACATTAAATATCCACAAACGAATTAAGATAAACGAATGAGAATCATTTTATATGAAATAACGTTTACATCGGAGATAAATGAACAATTAACAAAATTCATATTCGATGTTGTCATTTATCTCATGCGGCACACATTCATTCTTATTATTATAATTTCATCATTTCTTTTCATTTCGGAAAATCCTTTCATTACGGCGTTCCGGACGTGAAAAGCTTGGAAAAGAAGCAGAACGATATTTTTAATCCGACAGTGTTCTGTACCTACTTTAAAAGCATCCTCTGTTAGTAGAATTGATTTAATCTAAATGAACGCGTAGCACTCTCATTCCTCTGTGCTGATAATTAATGTTTATTCCCCGTAAAATAAAAATATGATCACGCAAATGCAACAAGGAAAGACGAATATTAAATTACGGATTCCTCAATATCACGTTATTTCTCATTATTGTTACTAAAATAACGATTTACAATTACGTTCGTGCAAACGAGATTCTCTGAAAAATGTTTAGCGATTGTAATATAGGAAAGTAATTTCTCGTGAATTTTTCGAACATAAAAAGGCGATTACAAGAGTAATTGCGTTACTCACGTTTTTTAAGTGCACTTCGATGGCGTTGGGAACAGAGAATTTGCGTGGTTCAGAATAATATTGAATTACCAATGAAAAGTTTCATAAATGACGGCGTACGTGAGAAAGCGCAATCGATAATTCGTTGTTTGAAGATACACGGAACAGATGTGGTGTATCAAAGATTAACATTATCATAAATTAATCAAAATCGCCCGTAAAAAAAAGTGGGCGAATTTGAAAAATGCTTGAACAAATATGAAGTATCCACAGACAGGACATCGAATTAATTACCCCTTATCGTTGCAATTTCAAGCGTTGAATAATAAAGTGTTAATAATTAATATTCGATCGAAAGGATGTTAGTCGCTTTTGATTTTATCGAAACGTTGGTTAATTAATTTTTCTGCTAAAAATGTTCAACCAGAAATGCCTCAATTGTTGATCTTTGATTTTTAAAAGAGCATTAAATTTTCGTGGAACGCATTGAAATTTTGTAACTGTAAGAACAGGATTGAAAGAAAAATACAATAAATTCTCCCTAATTTTCCTTCAGCTTGTAAACAAAAATATTCGAGACTTTCTGCTCATTTTTATAATCGTTGACAATCGGCAACAACCGAAATGAGCCACGAGGCTCGAATTATCCTATTTCCACTTCCAAAATTCTCCATTTTTGTTTGCAAGCTGAAGAAAAATTGGAGAAAATTTACTGCATATTGCTCGCCGTAATGGTTATATTAAATTGAAAATAATACAACAATGTTCTTAAATCCTTTTCTTATTTTTACTGCTCCGCGTTATCAACGGTTTTTACCACTTAAATTCACAGTTCACTTCACGATTGAAATGAAACAATTGAAATCAAATTACGTTTTTTAATATTACATTTTTTTTTTGAGCTCAGTACGTGAACTTGTTACGTTGATATTGTTATGTACAAATAGTATAGTGTTTCACCAACAAGGCTCAAGGTTGGTTGCTTCGTTTCCCACTTGTCCTGGTGATACATAAGCCACTCGTATGGAATTCGTAAATCCTGATCCTTCCCGGCATCCGGTAACTATAACGACTGCATCTCCGACTTTGATGTATCTTCTCCTTCGAAGAGAATCGACGCCGCTCTGTATCCGTGAATTCAACTCGTCGTTCCAATCAGGCAGAGGTTGCTCTGTGTTTGTAATTATACCAAACTTAAAGCTCGTGACAAATACTTTGTCGTCTCCTTAATTATATAGACGTGCGTTCTGTCTTCCTTTTATTTATTCATTTCAGACTGCGCACGCAATTGTATATCTTTCTTTGTTTTGTATTATTTACTTCTCAACATTTTATTCTATTTATTTCAAATTGTATTATTTAATTCTTCATATATAATATATACTTGCACTATTTGTTTTTCTACGAGTTGTACCATTTAACTCTCCATACTTTGCACTATTTATTTTTGTATATTGAATTATTTAATTATTATTTAATTAATATTTAATTCCCCATACATTGCACTACTTGTTTTGCTACATTTTAAACTACTCAGTTCTTCGTATTGTACACTATTTATTTTCATTAATATATAAATTAATATGTAATATAATATATTAATTAATATATATATAATATAATATTATTAATTAATTATAGGAAAATAAATAGTGTACAATACGAAGAACTGGGTAGTCTAAAACGTAACAAAACAAGTAGTGCAAGGTATGGAGAATTAAAGAAAAAATATAATAAATATATATCTCGAATTTTAATCCTTTATGCAGTCGATAGCTACGCTACACGGTGAATACAGTTCAAAAAGAAATTTTCAAAACGTGTAAACAACGTTCGACACTTTGTTGCACTAATGCTCGAGCAATGCAGTTGACGAAAACACTTTGAATAAATTTGGATATTCAAAAACTGTTATAAATTGACGAACATTCGGACTATTTAGATTAATATTGCAAGCTACAAGAACTGTTATAAATAAAAATCTGGCGGGTTTACGTCTGTAATGAATCGGATGAAGCCCATGGTATAGTTGCAGCCATCTTGCAACATCTCCGCAACGCGTGACTGCAAGGATTGGACAATGAGGACGATATACTGACAATAAAGCAGCGCTTCGACCAGACGTCGTTGTGACAATAATTGCAGCAGCATTTAAGTTTAAGGACGTTTGGATTGCACCTACAGTTACTGCGTACATAGGATCGGGAGGTACCAGCATCTATTTATATGGCAGAAGAAATACTACGATATTAACTTCGTCCATTAAGAATTTTTATTTCAGTTGATTTACAGAAATATTTTTCTTCTACATTATTTAATTGCATCATTTTCAATTAGAATAAAATGTCAGAAAGAAATGAAACAAAATAAAATAACAATGTGTAGCTCGACTGTGGACTAGTTTTGTTTATATAAATAAATAATATAAATATAATCTTGAAATAATATAAATTTGAGACGTGTCCTAGAATATTAACTTTTGCATATTGCAATAAGCAATAATAATTTTATTTCAATCTATACTTTCATGCTAAATTTTTGATGTTATTACGAATACATATATGTATAAGTACGACTATGATATATACTATATATACTTGAAAAAAAATATACTTTTATTATAACCGGACTGCGAATTTTATAAGTTTATAAAAAAATGACTACGTGAATTACAAAATTGTGAAGATAGAAAGATGTCAGAATATTGTTACGCTATTTCGGACTTATTACAGTTATGGAAAAATATATATATTCTTAATTTACTTAATCAATTTATTTAGACAGATTTTATTTCGCACGAAAATCCACAGTCTCGTTATAACATTTGCATCTTCACAGCAAACAATGTTTCACTTCGACACGTTTTCACATACATTCGAAAACAATTAAAATGTTCAAAATCGCCAAATTATTTTGTCCACCCTGTATAGTGATTTATACGGATTGTGTATCACATACCTTGCAAGCCAATTCGTCAAAGATTTCTCTCTGGTATCGCGCACTTTCTGCCTGTCTGCAGACCACGTCCACTTTCTTTATTAACTCGCTGGTTTCCTTTCCATTCAACTCGCCGCTTTTAAGAAAAATAACGTCAACCCCGCTTAGAACAGCGTTTGCAATTAGGTTCACGTCGAGTTTCGATGCGTTCCTCTTGGATACATGAAAACTTAGTATAACGGGCTTTCCTGCCTGAATTGAAGAAACGTAGAAAATAATCGTTGTTTATTATACAATTTACTGTTGAACAATCTTTCTTATATTATTAACATACAAAACTTTATTATTTATTATTAAACTTTATTACAATTATGAGGTATATGCTTTGAAATTCTAAAATTCAAAAATTACAATGTTCTGATCGACGGAGAAAATTTTGAATTTAGAATTTTTAAGAGCATTAGAATGAAAACAATTAGGTTCGCAGGATTCTAATGAAGTATGCAAAATAAAAATCGCTCTGTTTTAGCTTCGAAGCACAAGAGCTACATAAACTTTCATTTATTTTCTCGACATTAAAACTGTTGACATGAAGATTCTTTCACGAGAAATGATTGGATCTTCGTTTAAGCCTACATTGCTCAAATTTCACACCAACAAGCGTTCGATAACGATTTAATTTACCTTTAAACACTTGGCAACGACAACTTTTTCGACGAGGAACAGTCGTTCAGGGCCAACTTCGATTTCGACGCTGGCTCTGTCGAGCAGAATACCGTCGGCTGCTAGTAAAATCTCGTCCAAGCAGTCTAAACCTTGTTGCGAGGAGATCTTTGCGATAACACAAATTTTAATGGTACCTTTAGGAACGATTAATCAAGATTACAGACGCCAGAAACAAGTTCGTAGGACGCGTTGCAGCACAATTGAATTAGTTTGTAATTTACTCATTTGATCAAAACCAGTTTTAACAACTTCTACCATCTTCTCGTTCCGCGTGTGATTCACTATGCAAAAATCGCATTCTAGGAACGAAGTTAATTCAATCTGTTCTTCGTCTGTCTTTGACAATTGGGGCAGTTCGACTATGCTGTCTAATAATTGCACGAGCGCCTCGTCGCGAACGATGCCTCCTTTTAATACTTTACAAACAACGTCTGCTTCACCTGGAGAGAGAACAAATTGCCTTTTGCACAGAATAATAAATAGTGCAGAGCATGAAGAATTAAATAATACAATTTAAGACAAATAGAAGAAAATATAGAGAAGAGAATACTACAATACAACGGAAAATATAGAGATCCAAATATTTTAAAACGTAGCAATATTCAGAGAATTAAATAATCCAAGATATATCAAAACAAATAGTGCAAAGTTTAAAGAATTAAATATTCTAAAATGTAGCAAAATAACTAGTGCAAAGTTTAAAGAATTAAATAATACACTCTATAGAAAAATAAATAGTGCAGAGTATGAAGAATTAAATAATACAATTTAAAATAAATAGAATAAAATATGAAGAAGAAAATAATACAATAGAAAGGAAAATATAGAGATTTGAATATTTTAAAATGTATCAATATGCAGAGAATTAAATAATCCAAAATATATCAAAATAAATAGAGCACAGTTGAAATAATTAAACACTCCAAAATATAGCAAAAAATAACTACTTTTAATTAATAATAAATTAAATAGTAACAATTAAATAGTCAAATATACAGAATGAAATGGTTTCATTATATAGCAAACTGAACAGTATAAAATTGTATAGACAGCTAATTAGCATAAAATAAAGAAAAGTGAATAATAAAAACCGTGAATAAAACATAGAAAATAAATAAATAGTACAAGATATGAAACTAAATAATATCAAGCACAGTTTCCCAACGTTTTTGGGCTCAATATTTCTCATTCAAAGTTTTTCTGTCCACAGTCTCTTTTCAATAAATTATCTTCGTAATTAAAATTTTCGATACTCGCAAGGAAAATAATATGATTCAACGCTGAAACTTTAACGCCCCCTAAATCTCTTGAATATTTATATGTGATATATACCTGTAGGCGAGATCGCCCACGTTGGGAAACCGAGCTGCAAGGTACAGGAAAATAAATACAAATTACAGTTTTATACTAAATAATTAAAAATATAAAAATAATACATTCTCAGCTTCTATGGTATTTCCCAGGAGAGAAATGAATTTTGTAAAACCGTAGCAGTTTTATCGTTGATTAAAAATTTTTCAACGAAAATAAAATTCTAGAGAAGTATGTATCATTGGAATTGACGTATAATTAGTAGAATTAATGTACGGAAGATTAAATAAACGAAGATCTTGTAACTAACGGACGCAACAGACTTGCAACAATGCTACGCCTCGACCGATGAGAATTTTGTCACCAGGCCGACACACTCGCGGCAATTCGGGATAAGACACCCAAAAGCAATTGACACATCCGGCACGTTTTGCAACATCATTCGTTAATAATTTTACCACGTTTCCCTCTTTTAAATCGGCGTATCCCTGCAGAGATAAATAATTGAAATTCGTAGGACGGTGTGTCAAGAAATCTGCGTTTCAATGTGAACTAATTTGTTTTTATTTGCAATAATCAATGGTTAGATTTAACGTATACAATTCTAATGTTTCGAGAAAAATTGATGCATATAATACATATAATATAGGAAATTAAATAGTATAAAATATACTGCAAAAATAAATAGTATAGAATATTGAGGTCTAAATAGTAAAAAATCTATATATATATATATATATAAAGAATAGTATGCTTATAGAATATTAGATTTTGAGAACATCATTAAAAAATGAATATAAAATATAGAAAATTAAATGCTATAAAATATACGAAACCAAAGAATATAAAGTCTGGAGAACTATACTATAGAAAAATAAATAATATAATGTGAGAAAGAAACTGTATAGTTCGAAATATAAAAAAAGAAAAGATATAAAATGAAGAAAACTAAATAGTGTAAGATTCAGGAATCCAAATAATATAAAATGAAGGAAATTGTATGGTATGAAATGTAAAAATTCAAAAGGTATAAAACATAGAAAACCGAATATGGAAAATTAAATTGTATAAAAAAGATAGTAATACAAAATATAAAAGGAGAATCGTACTATGCTCGATGCATCCCCTCTAAATATGCCAGTTCTTATTTCAGGACCCCGAAGGCTCGTCGCAACCCCTAGAGGATAAATCTCACCGGTGAACTCATACATTCTATCCCCAGCCTGTCTGATAGACTGTACAGTGATTGCATGCCATTTGTCCACTTGATGAGACATGTTCAAACGAACTATGTTTGCACCGGCCATCATCATATTGACGATAGCTCCAGGATCAGAGTTCGCGACACCTAGATCAAACGGTAAGAAAACACAGACATTGTCTACGTCTACAGGGTTCGGACAACCTTGATGATGAACATTTCTTCATTATTCTGTTACTTCAATTACGCGAAATGTCATGAAGTGCGTGGTGCAAAGGGAGAATATAATAATGCAATATAATAATGAATCAATCATAAATTGAAACTGCATATTTTTTTTTATATTTTATTGATTATCCCCATTTTAGTTTTTACTTCTCCAATGTTAAAGTTAATTTTATATTTATTGCATGTCAAATAAAGCTTCATTAATTAAAAAATTTCACTGATCATCTGGGAGTAATTACTTAACTTGCCTGACCAATGCCACTCTCTTTCTACTAGCAAACATATAGATAGAAGTATTTAATTATCAATTTTGCATCGTTATCATTTTTTTATCATATTACTTTATAGAATATTACTAAAGAAAATTGTACCGCAACTTAGATCGTTTAAGTGTCATAATTTATAGGTATGAGTCCTAATGAACTCACCCAAAGTAACCATGATCTTGGTGAGTCTTGATATTTTCGGATTAGAATTTATATCTAGCTGTGTACTGTGTTCAAGACCTGACTTTCGACAAGTAGCTTCTGCTTGGCCATTGCATAAAGTATCGTCTTCAAAATCTGTCAGCTGAATGTCAAATATTATATTAACACATTGAGATACTTTACAGAATTATGGCAGAGTCTAAATAAAGTCAAATCACTATTGAAATATATTAAATTTTATTTGTATACTATCGAGATTACAATGAAGGCATAAAATCAGTAGTATAATTATATATTATCAGCAGTATATATTATATTTTATATCAGTATCGCTTTTATACTATTTTTGTGTACCTAATGTTATATAAATAAAAAAAATTTAAATACCCATGGTACTCTCTGATTGAGTTTCTTTTTGGTTGGTGCTGCAACTTCATTGGAGCATATCATAGTGTATGGCTTGTGGTTAGGATAATACACCTGTGAATTTGATGGGTTTGGAGGGGGAGGGAGAAATTAATTATTACAGAAGTACCATTAGGAATTATTTATCCATTTTGCTGTTGATGTGGTTCGTGTGATGTACGGGTTGGTGTTTATAATGTACAGTCTGAATATTGCAATTAATGCACTTGAGGACAAATGCACACTTGGGGTGTGTAATGAAAATAGTGTAATAAAGTAAAATAAATTTTCTTTTTATTCATCTTCATACAGAAATTAGAGAATCCAACGTATGTCCTTCAAACTGTTAATAAGCCAAGTTTCAATAGTTTGCTTCAAATGATTACCTCATTGTAACTATTCGTTAATGTAACGTGTATGCATACGTGTAACAGTATACTTATTTATATATACGTAAACGTATGTCTCCTTCGTACTGTATTACTGCAGACCTTCTTAAGGCCAAGTAAATAATACTGTAGCTACTGGCATTTTTTCAAATTTTAAAACGTTTAAAGAATATACTAAGTTCATCATACATATAAGTTACATACATACTGAATTTTCAACATCTACAATCACTGTATCCAGGTTTCTCCTTACGAATCAGCTAGTAGTAGTTGTACTTAATCAACGTTCCTAAAAGTGAACAAAAATGCTTACATTACTGACGATTTCAATAGCACAATTATTTTGTTACCATTGTAACAATTGTGAGCAAGCATTTCATGATTACACAACAAGCTGAAACACGTGTGAACACCAAAGTCAGAATCCATTACTTTTTCAAAAATACCATTTCATTTCATACTGTAAAAATGAATTCGTTCTTCGACGTTTTCTTCGACTGATGTTAAGACCAATTTAGATTTTATTTTAATTTGAAGTTTGAAACATGATTTAATACACTCTGGCTTTGGAATTTGGTTCAATTTCACCTAGAAACACAAACACACAGAGTATTTCATTTTAATTTATTGGAACAAGTTGTATTAGGCTACACTGCATGAAAAGGAAATATTAATGTACGTTAATATATTAAGCATGCAATTACATCATGTCTTCATAGGAATCTGTTACACTTCGAACAGTACATTCGTCATCATCACGAGGAATTTCAATATCTACGTACACGACACGAAGTGTATTCGTGAAGCCTGAGCCTTGCTTCCACCCAGTGACCACGACAACTGAATCTCCGGTTTTAATAAAACCGCGGCTCTTGCCGAAGTTCAAACCGCACTGAACACGTACATCTACATCCTTTATCCAATCAGACAACGGTGCCTCTGAAAATTGATTAGTGGATTAATACAAATTTTTTGCCTGAAGTCACTAAAGAATTTCACAGATCTGGGAATTATTTTAGTTTTTTCAAGACGAACCAAATATTTTTGTGGAAAAATTATTATGCACATTCAAAACTGCATACTTTGATCTATGGACTGCAGAAGTTTCATTGCAAAATCAATCAAATTAAAAATGTGGCAGCGAGTTCTATGAACGCAAATTTTCTAAGCCGGCAGAATCGTTTTAAGATTATTTTCGTAATAGCAGAATGTTTATGTTACCTTCGTAATAAAGTGGCAGAATACCACGATGAAGGTGAGCCTGTCGTGCTACTTGAGCGAATCTGGTCACCGCGATAATTGGGCAACGTGGTCTGTACTTCGAAATTAAATGTGCAGAACGACCGGTAGTCGTGATTACTATGATAGCGCTGGATAAACATTTCATAGATACTTCGACAGCAGCAATTGCAACTGCATGAGTTGCATCGATCGGGGGTATGGCTTTGCTTAAGAGATCACCAAATATCTGGGTTTGCCAGATGGTAGCTTCTGCTTCCTTGCAGATGTTAGCCATTGTGCGAACACATTCCAGTGGATAGTCACCTTTGGCAGTTTCACCTGTGACACAGAATATTTCACTCATTAGTTACGAATTTTTATAATCTATAAATTATTTAGTACATCATTTGAGAAAATATTTTCAAAACTTTTGGAAATTAATGAATAGATTTTGGCTTTTATACATTTATAACAAAAATGTTATTCTGGATTCATCAAGATCATTAAGAGTGGAAATACATTTTTATCAAATCTCTGTAGCTTGTAAGAGATGCAGATCAGTTCTATTTTGTATAAAGATTCGCAATCTGTTTGGAAATGATTTTTTTTTAAATAGAATGTCATTTTCATTCATGGAATCAAGGAAGTAGTCTAGTGTAAAACATATTTCTAATTTAACAAATCCATGAATATTTCAAAAGCGAAATTCGTTTTTAAAATGCAGTCGTCCTTTTAATTTTTTAATCGAATTGATATTGGTGAGTGTGAGTATTATTTTTTGACACATGCCAACAGCTCATTTAGCTTAATATTACCTGACAACATGACGCAATCAGCGCCATCAAGAATAGCATTTGCAACATCAGATGTTTCAGCTCTGGTAGCACGCGGTTTCTTCACCATAGACTCAAGCATCTGAGTAGCGCAGATCACCGGTTTGCCAACTTTGTTGCACCTGCTGATCATGCATTTCTGAGCTTGGTTCACTTTCTCGGGCGGGATCTCAATACCAAGATCACCACGAGCAACCATAATGCCATCAGAGGCTTCGATGATCTCATCGAGGTTCGTCATGCCCTGTTGATTCTCAATCTTCGAGATGATTTTAATCTTCTTTCCCTTCTCGCCAAGGATCGAACGAATTTCTGTTAAAGCTGCGGCATTTCTAATGAACGAGGCGAAGATCATGTCGACCTCTTGTTCAACACCGAACTGCAAATCGGACTTGTCCTTTTCGGAGACGGCTGGTAAATCTACTGGTACACCTGGCAGGTTGACACCTTTGCGGGAGCCTAGCATGCCACCGTTCTCCACGGTAGTGCTAATGCTATCGGGATCTGTTAAATGAAAATAATGATATACAATGTATCATCAGAAATTAGTCTTATAAATTCTTGAGTATTTAAATCTAATTTTTGTTATAGATTTAAACGGATTGATAAAATTATTTTTCAATTAAATATTATGGAAGGTTTATTTAACTGTGTATAAGGGAAATCGTTTATTTATAAGTATAAAAGTCAGAAAATTAAATATTATGAGGAAAAAAATTCAAGTCCTTCCATTTATTATCTTTTATATAACTTTTAATGAGCTGAGAGAATTATTTTAAAATTAAATTGGATTTTTATTCAATTAAAATTAGAAACGACTCTTGTTAATTTTATTCACGGACTTTGAAAGTATAATTTTAAATTAACCGAGAAAATTACTTTTAAATTAAACTGTATGTTTATTCAATTAGGAAATACTTCTTTTCAGAAATACAGAATAAAAATATTGAATATGTGTCAGCATTTAAGAAGGAAAATTAGATCTCTTTTTTCTTCTACTTTTTAATATATTATTTGTAAGAACCATTGAATGTTACGTACTGACGGTAGCGACGATTAGGGAAATCAACCCGTCATCAACGAAAACACGATTTCCAACCTTCAATACCTTCGTGATATTATCATAATCGACGTACACTACATCTTTGTTTCCCTTCTCGGCGTATGACTTATCAGTGGTCAGTTTGAAAGTCTGGCCCTTCACTAACTCTACTTCAGCGGACCCGCCCTAATAAACAAAAATACTACAATGAACAATAAAATATACATATATGTTTATATAATAATAATAATAATGTCATTGTACAGTAATGTATATACATAGAGTGTTTCGCTTAAAACCTACCATATTTACAAAACTGGACTTCTTTCGATTAGAAAGAACGCTTGAAAATGTAGTAACACAAGTGCATTTCAAAATTTTCTATCTTTTGCATCGACACGGTTCAAATTCACTAATAATACTGTGCTTGTAGAATGCTTTTAGATCAAGAGATAACTAAATACGCCATACATCTAAGCTTTCAAATACTGTAAGTGCCTGAATAATACTTATTTAGCATTCTCATCAATAAAGGGAAACTGCACTAAGGCGCTATACCACAGTATTTTTCAAATGTTTAATTCAATGAAAATTCTGAAATGGACCGTGCACAATCTCCGAGGCAATTATGGGCGTAAACTAAAGATTCGCTTACGCCTTCCAGGAGCCCTGTACGAATCTCAGGACCTTTGGTGTCAAGAGCAATTGCCACAGGGGTATTAATGCCGCTGCGGGCAGAGAACTTCTTCTGGGCTTCTCGAACGTTACGGATGGTCTCGGCATGGTATTCATGGGATCCATGGGAGAAGTTCATTCGAGCGATGTTCATACCCGTGTCGATCATCTTCTCGAGGGTTTCGACGGATCTCGAGGCCGGTCCAATTGTGCAAATAATTCCAGAAAGGCGCACAAACGATCCCCCGCTTTCGATGTCGAGGGCACACATGTGGTCCAAGTGGCTTTGAGCATACAAAGCTTGAGTATTTGGCTTCCCAGCCATCTATAACAATATGGAACAATCAAATAACATTTATTTTCGCACGACAGTTGTCCAAGTTCAAACAACCATTAACCCTTTATATCCTGAATTTATGCCGTTCTTACAATTTATGTTTAAAGAAAATTCAAAACCGTGTTTGGTTACTGCTCTCTTTATTTCACGGGGTTAAATGGTAACTTTACTATTGCTTCTATGAACAACAAACGTACATATGTGTATAAGTATGCTGAATTTGTCGGCAATTTGGAGTTATTTTGTTGGATGTTATTGTTGTCGAGTATATGTAAATATTGGACATTTCTGTCAATTAAAAATTGAAATGTAAATCTAGGGATACTTTAGTTCATTAAAATGAAAATGGCTGTTTCAGGATATAAAAGATTGAACAGCACAAAGCATTTCACAGCTGGTGCACTATATAACAGCTAACAATAATAAAAATGATAAACTAATACACTTTTAGCAAACACAATTTATTTTGTGTGTACAAAGTGTTAATTGGCTTGGAATAATATTGAACGGAAACGAATAATTTTATAATAATCAAACAGCTCTTCTAACGAAAATTTGCTATACTTCTCAAAGCGAATCGAAGTGAATCGTTTGTCAAGGTCACGGCCACTATACCTATCATATCTTTAGCTTACTAGGGAGTTTCGTACATTTATTTATTTTTGTTCGTTTAGTGTAGTAGACTAACGCGGCACTATTTTCATACAGTTATGAATAGAAACTATGACCTTGACAGAACTAACTTCTAAGCCTTTTTCGATTAGAATCAGACGAAAAAAGAAGCTTAAATAAATGAAAGCGAAGTAATGCACACATTTCAATTCAAAATTCTACATTTATAACACTCGATAAAAAAAACGGTTCCAAATCAAAATAAGCTATTTTAAAAAACAAATGAGAAATTGAGAAAATACACTAGATGATATTTCAGCAAAGTTATTAGAATTTTCTATGGATAATGTGAAGTAAGAGATAACTTTCTGTGCAAAAACGAAGGAAAATGATGTAATAAAATGTTTAATCCTCCTAGGATTAAGAGAGCAGGATTTATTGTAAGCACTATGTAACATTGTTGTAGATCATTTAAAGCAGTCGAGTAACATATGGATATGCGAAATATATTTAGACACAAATACAAATAGTGATACTTCAAATTAAATTANCAGATAAAAAGAAGTCTTGATGTACACGATAATTGTATGATAATTGTATGATAATTGTAACATTAATAATTTTATGTTATCTAAGAAATTAAGAATTTAATTAATGTTTTTTAACATTAGAAAGTGATAAAAATTGTAATTAATTTTTATAAATTAATGATTTGTAAAATATTTAATAAATATTTCAAATTAAATTAATATTTTGATAGACTTGGTTTAGTGAAGATCATTTAGGGCAAAACGTTAATTTTCTTTATTTGAAGATAAATTAGCTTAAAAAAAATTTATTCTACATTTCTAATAAATTTTTCCCCTAAGATTACCACTTATCTCTTACAAATTATTATTATCTACTCTACATTAACTAAAATACATGCAAACTAAATAAATATCATAAAC